GCCCCTTGTGGCCCCTAAGAAGCGACTGTGTGAGGGGATGAAGGAGGTGGGTGGCGCTGGGCTCCTGAGAGGGGGGTGAGGGGCTCTCTGCGTCTGAGTCTGCGTGTGCACGAGCCTTGTCTCTGTGTGTCCCTCTTTGGGTGTCTGTCACCCTGTTTCTATGAAGCTCCCTCTCTGCCTGTGTCTCCTCTGTTTCTCAGGGCATGTCTGTATCCCTGACTCTCTGTCCCTCCTTGTGCCTGGCTTGTGTGTCTATGTCTCTCTGAGTCTTTATCTCCTTGCCTCTGTCTCTGTGTGTTCCTCTGTCTCTGTGCAAGGTCAGAATTGTGGCATCCCCCTCCCTGCCCCCTTCAGGGCTGAATGAAACAAGGGACAGACTAGCCTTGATCTGGCGGCTCCATCTCAGGCTGCTGTGGCGCGGGGCAGCAGGAAGAGGCATTTGGCCCTGGGAGGCCCCGAGGGCCAGCCTTTCTCAGGAAGGAGCACCCTGCTCCCTGCCCCAAGCAGCTCCTGGCTTTCTGTGTTTCAGTCTTTAGGACCAGCTCCCTATTCCTGGGTCCTGAGTACTGGGGAGCGGGCCCTGCCTCCCAGCACCAGCTGAGCTTCCGAAGGTCGTATCCCAGGGTTCACTAGGGGCCACCTCCCTCAGTAGCCACCCAGCACCCCCCTACCTCTCCGTCCTGTTTCTCAGCCCAGTTTTGGGAGCCACTGGGGAGCCCCTAACAGTTCTGGGGGTCGAGGCCCTTGGCAGGATCCAGGAAGCCAGTGCCCTAGGACCAGGTTGGAGCCTGAAGCCATCAGCCGTCTAGGGTAGTCACCGGTGTTTGTCAGAAAGGCCAACAGCCCAGTGGGCCAAACGTGGCTTTGGAGTTGGCCACGCTGGGCTCACAGCCAGGCAGGAAGGCAGAGGCCATGGAGAGGGCCCGTGCCTGGCACGGATGTCTTAATGACACCAGCTCCTCCTCATCCCCGACTGCCCCAGCTAGCTAAGGGCTGAGCTACTGGGGACATTTACCGCTCAGTGTGAGCACAAGGATGAGCTTGAGGTTTCTCCATGGCTTTGCACAACATGTTCTTCCAGTTGGTACTTGTAAAAATCAACATGTACTGCAGAGCTGAGTGTCCCAGGCTCCCGGAACACTGTGTAGTGGCACAAGGAAAGGCCCAGCTCTGCCCACAGGCATCAGGCAGGGCTGGCTGCCTGGAGGAGGGGGCCTGTCAGGGTGCAGCCTGGTGCCTCGGGTAGTGTGGGATGGGACACACTGTGTCTGTGGCCCCTGCCCAGCTACTGGGCTCCTCTCCCTACCTCACCTGGGTTAGAAGCTGCCTGAGTCTCCCCAGCCTGGGCCTTTGTGGCCTGGCACTGGGTGTCACACATCAGGGTCCTGGCAGCTGGCAGGGAGACAGCTGGGCCCTGCCCCAGGGGACAGGCTCTGACATGTTCACTTCAGGGTGAGGCAAATTCAGGGAGTAGTTTGGCATCTGGGCTTGCCCTGGGCACACTGACAAAGGATTCGCCGTGTCTGCTTCCTCACCTACCAAAGCCTGGTGGTGGGGACTGCACAGGGGGCTATGGGAACAAAATGCCCTAGAGGAAAAGGATTCCACCCACAGCACCTCTGTGGACAGCCTCCTTCCATGCACAGGCTCTAAGAGGCCCGTTTTACAGATGAGGAGCCTGAGGCTGGGACAGCAGCAGCCCTTCTCTCAGGTCGGCAGCGGGGTGGGGCTGGGGAGCTGGTGCTTGTTTCATCCTGGCGTCCACGTGCCCATCTTGCCAGCGGGCTGAGGCTCCTTGCTGTGGCTGGCAGGGAGCCTTCTGCACCAGTGAGGGTGTTGGTGAACAGACCGGTGAACAGCCACACTGTCACCATAGGAGAGCTCTGTACCCCTCTGGGCCTGCATTTCCATCACTGCAGGAAAGCTTTTCAGCCTCCACCAGGAACCCAGTGAAGCAAAAGTGAGGTCCGGGCCCAACAGAGGGACTTTCCAAGGTCCCTAGTCATTTTTAGCCTCCCCCGTTTGAGACAAGTGACCCACACCCTGTCCTCGGGCCCAGCCCACCCTGTCCGTTCTTTTTCTGGCTCTATGAACTCAGGCCGCTGCACAGCCAAAGTTAAACTCCAGAGGGCTGAACACGTGGCCTGGGCGGGGAGCCAGAGCAGATGGCAGGCCACCTGTTGAAGGGTGGCACCTTGGCTGCCCGCCTCCTGCCTGCCTGTGTGCCTCTCGCCTACTCTTTCTGCTCTGTGCTGGGCCCTGCGGCATCCATAGTGGGGGCTTCGGACGTGGGGGGCTCTCACAATCATGGGAAACCACCCAGGGTCTGCACCAGGGGGTGGGGAACAATCCAAGGGCAGCTACAGATGTCTTCTTCAGAGCCTGGTGTGCAGGGGCTCAGGGGTGGGTGGCAAGGCACAGATCCTGAGCAGACGAAGGGCAGGGGCCTCTGCCACCCCTCAGAGGGGCCATGGGTCGGTAATGCCCCCTAAGACCCCAGACAGCCCATCCCACCGCTGCCTCCCCAGGGGTCATTCACCAAACCTTTGTGCATTTGAAGATTTTAGGACTCCTATTGTTTAAGAAGAACAAATCAGATGAGTTCTATAGTATGATAGTGGCTCAAGGTAGAACCTTTGAAAACATCCCTAAGCAAAAAGAGAAAAACCAGCCCCTGTACCTGCTATCAGCCCCCAGTCTCTTTCCCAGGGACTGGTATACAATTTTTTAAACTCTCCTTGGCCCTTCTCCCACTGAACAGTCAGTGTAGGGTGAACCTCTTTCCAGGTCCACACCTCGGGAGCCTTGGCACAACTGTTTTTTTGCAGCACCATGGATCTTCCCATCTTTATACAGACTATAATCCCTTATCCACAATTGCAAAACCACAAAAGCTCAAAAAAGCCAAGTCCTTACGTAACTTGTTTGGCCACAACTATCTGCCCTGGACAGACATGGGGCTCTTTATGGCCTCCCTTCCCCCCACTCGACAGGGGGTTTTGCATTTTGCTACAGAAACTGCGACCGGTTTAATGAAGAGCGCTGCTCCATAGGTTGCTGATGTGTCATGTAATCCCCGGCACAGGGACCGTTCTAAAGCTCTAAATCCATGTGATGCTGACTTCTGGAACTCTCTGGTGTGATGAGATTTTGACGGAGTGGACAGACATGTCCAGGGCTTTCATTTCCTGGATGTTCTTGGCCTGTGCTTTGAATTTAAAGCATCAACATCAAGTGAGGGTCTTCTACTCTGGGTGGAGACTCAGCGGCTCAGGGTGGGTCACTCATGACTGACAGGTCAAGACTGCATTTCGGGCTCGGTGCCCATAACTCAGCGCTTAGGGCGCTGGCCACGTGCACAGGGGCTGGTGGGTTCGAACCCCGCCTGGGCCTGTTAAACAATGAAAACAACAAAAATAGCCAGGTGTTGTAGCAGGTGTCTGTAGTCCCAGCTACTTGAGAGGCTGAGGCAAGAGAATCGTTTAAGCCCATGAGTTTGAAGTTGCTGTGAGCTGTGATGCCACAACACTCTACCAAGGGTGACATAGTGAGACTGTCTCAAAAAAGACTGCAACTGGATCTCTGGCTCCCAAGCTCAAGCCCAAGCATTGGCTGCTAGGCCTCCCTGCTCCTTTCCCACTTTGCCAGATGTTGTTTGAAACATCCCCAATTTCAGTGTTTTTCAAACTATGTTCCATAAACTACAGGCCTCTCAATGCCTGGTTGCCTGTTAAAACCCCACAGGGCCAGGTGTGGTGGCTTGCACCTGTAGTCCCAGCACTTTGAGGGGGAGGCTGAGACAGGAGGATAACTTGAGCCCAGGCAAAGAGGCAGTGAGTTATGACCAACCACTGCACTCTAGCCTGGGTGATAGAACAAGACCTTGTCTCAAAAAAACGAAAACAAAAAACAAATAACAAAGAAAACCAAAATCACGCAGATTTCCAGGCCCCACCCTGGCCTCTTGGACCAGGTCTCCGGGGAGCCAGAGGCATCAGCTTGTTGAATAGACTCATGATGATTCTGGGGCCCATGGAGTTTGAGACTCTACATGTCTGGGGTCCCGGGACTGCAGGGAAGGGGACTACTGTCCCAGCTCCCACTGGACTTGTGCTTGGGTGATCCTAAGTCGGCCTTAACTGCCACCCCAGGAGCCTTGTGTCTCTAAGGCAGCCATGGAGAGTTGGCCTCAAACCCACGGCTGGGAGTGGCCTCTCCAAACCAAAGTCATTAATCTTGGTTAACACAGGGAATTATAACTTGGTTCAGAAGCTACCTTCCCTGCCCACTCCCTTCTCAGGGCCCGGCCTTCCTGCATGTTCCATGAACACAGCTCATGTTCCTACATGAGTGCCGGCACTCCCTGTCCCCTGCCAATCCTCCAGGAACGGTTGTATTTTTTATCTTAATTCAGTCTGCCTGACTTGACGTCATGCCTGACTTTTTTTCTAGGAGTAAATCCTTTTTTCCTCCATTCATCTACCTCTTATCCATCCATCCACCAAACCATCCATTAAACAACCTGCCCGCCCACCCTCCCTATCCATCCATCCATCCACTCATCCATCCACCCAGCATCCTTCCAACCACCAAACCATCCATTAACCAACCTGCCCATCCACCCACCCGTTATTAAACCATCCACCAACCAACCAACCTACCCATCCATCCACCAACCAAACCATCCATTAACCAACCAACCAACCTGCCCATCTAACCATCCACCTGTTGTCCAACCATCCACTAACCAATCCATCCATCTACTCATCCATCCACCCACCACGGCATCCTCCTTCCATCCAACAAACCATCCATTTACCAACCAACCCATTCATCCACCCATCTGTCCGTCCGTCCGTCCGTCCATCCATCCATCCATCCATCCATCTACCCATCTACCCTTCTACTCACCCACCCACCCATCCATCATCCATCCATCATCCATCCATCAATCTACCCATCCTTTGCTCTTCTCTCCACCCATCCACACACCCACTCACCCACCAAACCATTCATCATCCCCACATCCTGGTGTCCAGTAGGAGCCCAATACATTTTAGCCAAATGAAGGAACGATGAGTTTCTCCAAGCAACCTGTTTAGCAACCTTATAAAAAAGGAAGAAAAGATTCATTTAGAGCTGGGGGTTCCATCTGACCGAGTTCCTCACAGCCCTCCTCATGCACCCACACACTCACACTTCAGCAGCCTTTCCTGAGTGCCCCTACGTGGCAGCCATCACACTCGGTCTGCTGCCAAAGACACGGAGCTGAGCAGAAACAGATGCCTGGGCCTCGCCCTCATGAAACTGGCAAATTTGGAAGAAGACAGATGTTAATCAAGTAACCACACTCATGAAGTCATAATTACAAACAGCAAGATGTGCCCAGAAGGAAAAGAAATGGTCTAGCCTATCACAGAGGTTCCTGACACAGGCCGGGATGCTCCAGACAGTCACAGGGAACCAAAGGATGAGCCAAGGGCTGGCCAAGAGGCGGGTACCTGAGCCAGGTGACTCAAGAGAGGAGTTTAATCAAGGGAGCTGTTACCAAAGCAGCTGTGAGAGCACGTGGGGGCAGCGAGGCTGACTCACAGCTAAGAACTGCAGGAAGCTGTTGTCACCCCAGGCAGGAGGGACAAAGGAAGAAGAGAGTTGCTGGAGCTGCTGCTGGAACCACACAAGAGATGTGGCCACTTATAGAGACATTGCTTGTGCAAAGAGACAGAGACACCCTGGCTTACCCCCTCCTCCAGTCTCCCTCCAGTACCTCCTGTTGGCTGTCCCCAGTGGGAAGTCAGGAGCAAGGAAGCCTGGGAAACATAGTTTGCAGGGTCAGCCTGCAGAGCAGGAGGAGGGTGAGGAATGGTGTATGCCTGGTACAGGGAGGAATTAGGCACAGAGCAGAAGGAAGCAAGTTCCAGGCAATGGAAATAGTACGTGCAAAGGTCCTGTGGTACAGTGTGCATGGTGCCTCCTGAGAAGGCCAAAGGTCTAAGGAATCAAGAGGTCTTAAGGTCTCCCAGCAACATGGGCAGAGGGCGGCAAATAGGGCGTCTCATCTCTAGCCTGAGCGCTATGAAACCTGAGATGGACTTCAAGCAATAGGGAGACCACAACCCGGTTTGCACTTCCAAAAAGACGCTGCTGGGTTGGGAAGAGACATAAGGAAAACAGGTTAGAGGCTGGGGCGGCCCTGCCGAACATTCCCACCCCCAGCCTCCTGCCCAGGCCTGGGGCCTCAGACACCCATGGCAGCAGGGAAGTGCCAGCTTCTAGGGGATGTCCCTTCCTTGATCATTCGCTTTCCTCCTTTTAGACTGAATACCTGGCTCCCCTCTCCACCCAAGATGAGGCCTCCCTGCCTAGTCCTGCCCAGCCCCCCCCAGCTGCCCACACCCTGAGCCAGAGTGCCAGCCACGATGGCACCTGTCCACGGCTATTTTTCACTTCTCCAGTGGCTCAGCTTTCAGGTCTGATAAATATTAATGGCCATGCAGGGTCCAGGGGGCCCCACGGAGAGATAGTCTTTCTGGAAGTCATGTCAGGGTGCCCAGCTAGAGGCACAACCAGACACCCAGGCCTGCCTCCCGACTTGCTAGCACCCATCCCCCTAGGGGGGCAAACCTGGCAGCCCTGGGAGTCAGACCATCTCTGGTTCTCTCCGAAGCCCAGAGCTCATCCTCCCATGGACCCCGGAAAGAAACGGAGTTCTCGGGGATAAAGTTCTCGAACTCCTGAGTGAGGGCTCCTTGGCCTGACAATCACAAATCACTATTTTCAAGGGGGTGTAAGAGTATTAGGCAGGAAGTCAGGAAGGCCAACTTCTGACTGTCCGTTGTGTGACCTTGGCTGAGTCAGGGCTGCCCTGGGCTTTGGACTGCTCTCCTCTCAAATTAAGGGGGTCTATCTAAGAACGTGGGCTTCAGGAGCATGCACTTCTCAAAGGCGGGAGCTGTTTCAGGAAGCTGGGGTGGGGGGAGAAAGGCCCCTTTATGCAGTGCTTACTGTGTTTGTGGCACTTTTAAATTCTGTGGGGTTTGGTCTCCTAATAACATTGCAAGGGGGTGGGCGATTCTCCACACTCATATTGACTAAAGCAATGTGGCTCACAAGTCCAACCACTTACCTAGGGCCATGCAGAGAAGACACAGGGATGGGGGACGGATTTTGATCTGAATTCCAAAGTCTGTAGGCAAAGGAGTGCACCACTCAGAGTGCAGGCTCCTGTTCCACAGCACAGCCCGGGTTGCAACATCAGCTCCTTCCATTCATAGCTGTGTGATCTTGGGCAAGTAGCTTAACCTCTCTGTGCTTTAGTTTCCTCACCTGTGAAGTAGAAATGATACTTGTGTGCTGACCTCATCAGGTGCTGGAAGGATTAAATTGGGTAACAATACGCAGATGGGGAGCAAAGCTCAGCTGGCTGAGGCCTTGGGATTGCTGCAGTGATGAGGTCTCACTTTGAGGTGCACGCCTTGAACCACCCCAGAGAGGGTGGAGCCAGGCCCGGAGTGGTGTGAGCAGAAGGGACTGTAAGCCACTGTTCCTGGTGAGCGCTGTCCTCCAGACAGCTGGAATGTTCTAAGTCATTCTAAGACCTGGGCAGATTGGAATTTAAAATGTGTTTCCCCTTTTAGAGTGAGCTATGCCTAAGTATTTCTGGCCTGAGAAAGGAACAGAGTTTCAGAGCCAGGGCAGAAAAACCACGTGTGTTCACACGACCCAACGAAAATACTGGCCACTGAGTCCTTTTCCTCTTCAGCTTGTATGGATTCCATCCCGGCTGGGCTATCGGGGTGGGTGGGCAGGGGGCACCCTGCAAGGAGCTGGATGTGGGTACACGCTGGTGGGTGGGCCACTGAGGGGAAGGTCAGGAAGGGCTAAATCTGGGGACTAGGGAACCTTGACAATTCCACTCGCCTCCCTGGTGTGATTTAAAATATCTTAGTATGCATTAAAGTCACACACCCACCTGATGGTTAGCAATTCTACTCCTGGGTGTCTACCCCCAAAGAAATGCATTGTGCGTTTACAACAAATTACACGCACTAGATTGTTTAGAAAAACACCATTTGTGGTAGCCCTGAATGAAAACTACCCCAAAACTCACCACTTGCAGAAAGGATGAGTAAATGATGTAATATTTACCAGTGGACTACTATGCAGCAAGAAAAAATAACCGATTGCTTCTACATGTGAAACCAGGAAGACCTGGGTGCTCAGCAAAAATCCAGGCCCAGAGAACACGGGATGTGCTGCTTCTCACATAAAGCACAAACACAGACTGTCCTGACAAGCCCACAACACGGATAAGCCTTGAAAACATTATTACACTGGGTGAATGAAGCCAGTTACAAAGTCTGTGTGCTGGACAGTCCCATTTATTCAAACTGCTCAGAGCAGGCAGGGACAGAGGGTAGACTGATGGTCGCCAGGGGCCGTTATGGGGTGGAGCTGGAGGGATGGGGGTTGATGGCTAAAGGGTCTGAGGTTTCTTCTGGGGGTGATGAAAATGTGCTAAAATTGATTGTGGTGGTGGTTGCAGAACTCTGTAAATATACAAAAGCCGTTGAATTGTACACTTTAAATGGGCGGATTGTGTGGCCTGTGAGTTATATCTCAATAAAGCTGCTAAAAAATAACACAGGCTGGTGTTAGGAGTCAGGATGCCCAGAACTGGTTGGGAGTCGTTCCCTGGTGGGCGGGAGGGGGCAGGTAGTGTCTGGATTGGGAGCCTTGGGGGGCTTCTGTGAGGCTGGACCTGCTTTATTTCTGGGTGCTGGTCACACAGATGTAATCAGCTTGCGACAGTTCAGGAAATTGTACACGTATCATGAGGCAGGCTTTTCTGTATGGAGGTGATACCTCGGTACAAGATTTCTAAAAAACACCTAACTTTAGAATTAGCCACACGGCTCAGTCCCACCGTCTGTCTCTGTCAATGGGTCCTGCAACAACCCGTCCACGGCACGAATCCAAGCCGGGGGAGGCAAGCTGGCAGCTGGGGTTGGAACATGCTGGGTGACTCAGAGGAACAGCTGGAAAGAATGTGTTGCCTTTGACTTCCCAGCGCCATGGACCTGCCACTGCTCCAGGTCCTGAGAGCTCAGGAGACTAGGCCGAAGGTGGCAGCCACTGGTGGAAATGCAGGCCGGACTCAGAGGTGTGCAGCAAGCCCTGACCATTGGCCTTCCTGGCAAAGCCCAGGGAGGGACAAGGACGCCTTTATTAGGACTGGGGCAGCGGGCCTGGCAGCCTAGGAGCTGAGCACACAGCGGGGCGCTAGGGCCAGACCGCCTGGGTAGGAATCCAGCTCTGACACTTCCCGGCTCCGTGATGCTGGGGACATGAGTTCACATTCTAAGCCTCAGAGTCCCCACCGGTAAAATCATGTAACAACAGGGTCTACTTTTCAGGGTGTTGTGAGAAGTGAGTGAGATAATGAGCTCTGTTCCAAACACAGCACCCGCATTTAGTGACCGCCCAGCAAACGTGAATATTAGCTGTTATCTTTCCAGGTTGGAGGACACAAACTGGTTCGTATTGAGCACCTACTGTATGCTGGGCACCCTTAGGGCAGTTCTTGGCTTCATCTACTTTTGCTTGGTCCCCTCACCCACCCACCTATGCCCTACCCGCTCAGAAACCTCCGTGGCTTGGAAGCTTGGGAACTCACCACATAAATGGTTGCTGTGGGTTCTGTGCTGCAAATCAGGGGTCTGTTGAGAAGCCGGCAGCAAGGGAGTCTTTGAATATATTCAAGATTTATGTGGAGTGTTTGTCCCGTCATCCCCAGTGGCAGGTCAACCCTGGTGATCATTTATCAAAGGGGTTTTACGAGGCCCTGAAGTTCACAGCAATATCCTCAGATTTCAAGCTGGTGAGGCCTGGGATGGGGGTTGGTAACTCCAGCAGTACGAGACTGGGTTTTTCTTTCCTGGAGTTTTTGTTGTTGTTGTTGTTGTTGTTGTTTTTCAGATTCAGGGGAGCAAGGCAAGGTTTAAGGGCACCCGATTCTGTTGTGCAAATTTGCACCCCATGCAGTAACCTTTAATTGTGGAACACAAGCCATGACTTTTTAATAAGGCACTTGACAGCGTATAAAACGTTTCTGTCCCAGGCCCCAGAGATAGAGAGTGGTCCACCCACTTTCACTCTCAGAAGCTCCTGGATTTATAAAGGCAATAGGAGCTAAGACGGGGTCACCAAACATGCCGTTTATGTCGAATGTTTCTATTTAACAAGTTAGCACAAGTAATGCATACAGACTGCTCCAAATTTCCCAGTCCCTACCGTCCCCCAAAGCCGGCGCTTATCTTGGTTGCAGGAACTGTGTCCTTGAACAAGCCTCTGCTTGTTGGAGCCTCAGTTTCTCCATCTCTAAGATGAATCCACCTCGTGTCATTCCTCCCCTTATTGCTGTGACAGGAGCTAACGGATAAGAAATGGTTCATAAGCCCAAGGCCTCCACAAATCCCAGGGTTTATTTATTTATTTTTTTTTACCGTCAACAGTTACATTCTTTCCCTCTGAGAAGGAAGATATATCTTTGCCAGTGGCCTGCCATGTTTGAAGCTCTTTCTGAGCGTAGCAGAGAAGCGTTTGCTTCATTCTTAGGCAAAAAAGAAAAAAAAAAAAAAAAACAGAAGAAAAAATAGGGCAGTGAGATGATAAATTTTGTTTTCCTGGTCCCCAGCGAGCCAGAGGCCAAACAGGCAGCACACGGTGCCTCTCACAGAGGAAGGATGGACCAGCCTGTGAAGGTAAATGGGTCCTCAGAGGGACACCAAGGGCACACGCACAGTTTAGAGAGAAGGGGAAAAGGGCAGACAGTCCTGGCAAGGAGGGAAGTGGGGTGATAGGGTTGGAGAAAGCTGGGGGCATGTGAAGAGTTTAATCTTTATTGCTGGCACTTGGGAAAAATAAAAGATGGTGGCATGGAAGTCGCCGGGGCAGCAGGAGGTTCTGGAACGTGGAGGGCACAGTGAGGTCTACACGCACTCTGGCATCCCTGGTTCAATCATGGAGTGGTCCTCAACTGTGTCCCCAGCCTTGTGAAACTGCGGGGCAGGGCATGGCAAGCTGGCTCAGGCTGGGCCCTGTGGGAGAGGCCAGTGCAGAGGCAGATGCACTAAATGACCTGTGTGCGTTCGGTGCCTGGAGAGCTCTCCTGGGCAGGGGGAGGGCAGATTCCTGCGGTTTCTGGGCTAAGATGACCCTACAGGTAGCAGCAAACCTGAGACGCACCCATATTTTCCTGTAGACCTGGGGTGGGCGTTTCCTACCCTGTTTCCAGTGCTGGGCTGCCTGTGGCACCCTGTCTCCAGTGCAGTGAGGATTGTAGGGCTCTAAGGGAGGGTAGGGAAGCCAGGAATGGCTCTGTTGGGGCAGTGAGGCTGAGGCTCTGACAGCTCTTGGCAGGGGATGTTGGATGGCTCAGTTTAATTTGAGCCTTTTGCACATTTCTGTTAGAAAAAGGGACTTCGAGCCCGGCACCAGTAGCTCAGCAGCTAGGGCACCAGCCACATAAACCAGAGCTGGCAGGTTCGAATCCAGCCTGGGCCTGCCAAACAACAATGACAACTACAACCAAAATAAATAAATAAATGAAAATAGCCGGGCATTGCGGCAGGTGCCTGTAGTCCCAGCTACTTGGGAGCTGAGGCACGAGAATCACTTAAGCCCAAGAGTTTGAGGTTGCTGTGAGCTGTGACATCACAGCAGTCTACCAAGGGTGACAAAGTGAGATGCTGTCTAAAAAAAAAAAACACGGGATTTTGAGTCTATGTTGGCATGTGACATTAATGCAAACATACCCTGGCATTTCTCCTCATCTTCTGGCACAAACTCAGCCTGTTTTGTGTCCAGACAGGAGCCTCAGTTTCTCTAGGGACACATGTGACAAGAGGGTGGATGACACTCTAGGCTGTTCTTGTCCTAACTAACTGGGGTCTCAATATTTGAGGCAGAGCCCAGACAGTCACAGAGGCAGCTGCCCAGGCTGTGTGACCCTGGGCCAGGGGCGTCCCTTGTCTGTGACTCGCTCCCCTCTCCTGTGAACTAGGGGTATGTAGAACAAACCTCATGATAGGTCCTGGTGTGCACAGATGTTACAGTTCTGTCTGTGTAAGATGCTTTATTGGGAGTACCTAGGTTCATTCTTCCTCATTTTGTTATCTCTGGCTTACAGATGGGGAAGCTGGGGCTCAGAGAAGTTAGGAGCAGGCTGAGGCCACACAGCTAGTAAATGGCAGAGGCGTGACATCTACCTGGTGTGTCAGACTGTGCCAGTGCCCCTACCTGGTGTTGCCCACCCGCAGATGACCAGCCACTGTCACCTGCCTTCCTCTGCCCTTGGTCTGTGTTTACCTGCTCTCTGGCTCCCGAGACGTGTCCCAGGAGACTTTCTTGGGTCACTGGGTCATGGAAAGAAATAAAAATATCCAGCCGCCTCCCTGACTCCTGGCCTACTTCACATGCACGTAGGCATAGGCCCAGGAGCACCGTGATCACACCTGCACACAAACGTGGATTCATGCCACACACACTGACACATGTACACACTTGCACACACTCTAACAAACGCATCCACCTCTGCACACATCAGACATGCTTGGGAAACCCTCCTGGAGGATTCCAGCTTAGTCAACAAAACCCCACCTCTGTCTTTTCATCCTGTTGACCCTGTGGCCCTCCTCCCTCAGATCTGTGTGTGACCTCACCTCCGTGTCCCCCTTACCCTAGGGCAGGAGTACCTCCTCAACAGCTGTCAATCACATACTCAGGGTCACCTGCAATATACCAGACCTCTGTGTCCGGGGCATCATTCTCTCTACCTCATTCAATCCACACAGGGGCAGGAATCACAATCCTCTTGTACCAAGCCAGAAACTGAGGCTTAGCTGGCTAGGAGGTCTGCCCAAGGCTCACGCGAGGGATAGAACAGGACTGGGACCCAGGCACTGAGCCAGGCCCTGGATATAAGCAAGTAAGACAGATCTAGCTCCTAGGTGGGAGTGGGGATACTGGTGGGGAGGGCTGGGGCAGGCAGGAACAGCAGACAGAAAAATAAATAAAATTCATGCAAGCTCCTGTGCCAAGGAGCTGAGGTGGAGAAAAGCAATAGAGGATGGCTCTCGAGAAGGAAGGGAGGCCTCTGAGGATGACACCAGAGCCGAGACCTTAAAGATGAGCCCCAAGGGACCTACATCTAACTCAACAGCAGCCTGGAGGCGCTGAGGCCAGCACTGTTTTACCAGCAGCCATGCAAGCCACAATTAAACAGATGTTGCCTTTAAAGTTTTCCTAATCAGGCTTCTCACCAGGTATTAAAAATGCCAAGCTCCAAGAAGCCTTGGGCCCTGCCCCCAACATTCCTTTGGGACAGTTTTGCTGACACAGCAGTTTTGTTTTTTTTTCCAGGGCTTGGGTGAGGGCCCAAGGTCCTGCATCTCTGATGACAATGATTTTCCTATTAACCCTTGGACTGTGTGCCCTGGAATGTCCACCAGAGATTCCTGGGAACTGGCCCTTTGCTCTTCTTCCATTTACTTATAATGTATGGCCTGCCTCCCAGACAAGAGGAAGCCCAGTTTTACCTACATGTCAGCACCCCAGAGGGTGGTGACCACGGGCACTGTGGTCCACAGGCCAACTCTGGGCCCTGCTGCAGGTAGGGACAGCTGCTCGGAAATCAGAGGCTCGTAGAGTTTTGAAGCTGGTGGGGGTGTCCTTCCACAGATGGAAGTGTGAGGTTCAGAAATGCCTGGATTGGCACAGGGTTACTACTAACCTGAGCCAGTGCGGCACACGGGGGTGGGGGTATCCACAGGGCCTGGCCTTGTCCCCTGCCATTGACAGGCTCCATCAGCAGACTGGTGACATGGACCAGATGCTCACCTGGAGAGGCTGCAAACCCTGGCATTCGAGAACAAGAACTTGGCCCCCAATTCCCTGGGTTTGAACCCTACTTGGCCATTTTGAATAAGTAACTTAACGCTTAGTGCCACCTCTTTCCTGTCTGTAATACTGTGCTGATCTCTCTGTTACTGTAACAGTGCTCATGTTTGCACCAAGCCCAGCACTATCAGGAGGGTAATTGAGCAGAAGTTTATAAAGTGCTTAGAACTGTGCCTGGCACTCTGCAAGTCTCTGTTAAATAAATACAATGTATCTACACACCATAAATGCATGGAAAACAGTTAGCCCCCTGCAGCAGTTCCTGTTTAACGAAAGGAATTAAAGGGCTCAGAGAGGTAGAGTCGCTTGCCCTGGGACACACAGGACTCTTTCTACCTCTGCTGGTGAGCAGTGGTCCCTGACTGGTGAGGGACAGAGCAGGGCCAGGACTCATCCTCAGGATGGTGCATTCATTAACATGTTCCAGGAGACAGGAAACAGCTTCTCTTGCCTCTGCACAATTAGAACGCTGTGCTCTGAAAAGTGTCCCCAACCTGGGGCTATGCAGGACTGTAAATGATTCTCACTTGGTCCCCCCTTTTAGAATGAAGAGGGGGCAGGACCACCCTGAACGAAACCGACAGGGTGCCTCCTGCTGGCCCACAGCCCTTCCCGCGGTAGGGGCGGGGAGGCTCCTCTGTCCCCAGGGACGTCGTTCCAGTCCTTACCTGGCTCCTCCCGCGTCCTGCTTGACCTTTACTTAAAGACCAGCTCCAGCCGCTGATGGGTTTCGGCGGTCCCTGAGGAGACCCTTCAGACGGCTTGAGCCTGGCGCGCTGGAGAGAGCCCCTAATTGGGGCAATGAATCATCGTGCGCGGCTCCGGCTGGACACAAAATAGATAGAGGAGCCGGAGCGCTATTGTGCGCAGTTTGGGACGCGGGGGGAGGGGGGA